GTGCAGCTGGGCCATCCGCGTCTGCGCCTCGCTCTGCGTCGACTGGAGTCGGCGGACGCGGTTGGCGAGCGCCATGCGCTCGTCGGCCGTCAATGACTCGACCCGCCGCCCGCCGAGGCCCATCATGTGCATGCACTGCTGGATCAGAAGGCTGCTAGCCGGGCGCTGGAGGTTGAGCATCGCACTGAGCTCATGGTTGAGCCCCTGCCCCTGATTCGACTGGCGTGCTACCGCAAAGGGAGCTTGATCCGGGTCCAGATTCGGCCGGGGCGGCGAGGCTCTGTGCCCGGCTGTGTCTAGCGAGTTCGGCCCCAGACTCGGAATGGCGTCCTGGGTCGGGACCTGCGACGCCGAGCCGTCCTGCTGTGGATGTGGCGACCGGTGCTGCTGCTGCTGCTGCTGCTGCTGCTGCTGCTGCTGCTGCTGCTGCTGCTGCTGCTGCTGCTGCTGCTGCTGCTGCATTCTGAGCATGCTCAGGTGCTGCTCATCGGCCGTAGAGCCTTGGGCAAGACGCGAGCTGGGTCTCGATCCCTGCGCGGAACCGGGCGCGCCTGCCTGCGGAATCGCACTTGTGCCTTTGAACGGACTGCCATGCCGCAGGCTCCCGCTCAGCCTTCGCGCGCCCGTTGGGCTCTGCGAATCATGTGCGCTTAAGCTGGCCGCGAGAGCCTGCTGCTGCGGCAGATGCGGACCGACGCCCGGGAAGGACGGCTGGCGACGCAGCGGCTGCGCCGCCAAAGCCGGGCCGGCAGGCCGACGCTGGTGGCTCGCGGACGCCTGCGGCCAGCTAGGTTGGTGTGGCTGCCCCTGCCCCGCGGCCTGCAGGGCGATGCTGCGGTGCTGCTCCTGCTGCCCGTGCAGCAGCCGTAGCCTCTGGCCGTCCTGGTGGTGGACGTAGGCATGGGCGTCGGACTTGCGGACCGAAGCAGCGTACGGATCAGACGACCTCGCTGTGAAGATGTCCCAGAACACTGTCCACCACCTAACAGGCAAAGTGGCGCGGAAGGGAGGGGCAGGGGACCATCGTCCAAAGAGGAGGGCAGGTGGGGGCAGCGGTCAGCTATTGACTCTTCCGGTGAGGTCCGTCGAGCGCGGGCCGGCGACCTGGGCCCTTCGCGGAGATGCAGCGGCGGACCTACTCGTACAGCAGACCTTGAGGGGCATCGATGGGCACGTGCTGGTCCGGAGACACGCCCGCCTCGGAGATGAAGGCTTGCGCAGCCTGATGGAACTGGCGCTTCTGGCAATAGTCCCACATGTAGATGTGCAGCCTGGAGGTGCGAGCGGGCCGACGACGCACGAGGAAAGAGGGAAACGCAGGTGAGCATCGTGCTGGGTCCAAACGAGCCGCTCGACTGCAGAGCATGGCGTCGAGTCGAGCCGAGTGACTCGCCCGGCGTCGCCGTCTGCGAGCTGTCCGAGGTCATCGCCGGGATGATGGCGCACGCCAGGGATCGATCATGCTGCCGGCATCCTACTTACATCCGATCGCCCTCCCAGTTGAGCGGTGGAGCAGCCGGCGGCGCTGCCCGATGCTGGGTTTCGGCCATGGCCGTATCGTTGCGACTTGTTGCTCCTTGCGCCGGTCGGTGGGTGGGGCGGGATGTGGTGCGTGTCTCGCCGAGGGCCGGGTGCCGAGTGCGGCCGAGGTCAAATCGGCCGGTGGCCTCGCGCCGCTATTTGGCGGCAGGCCGGGATGCACCTGAAGACAATGGCCTCGGATTGGAGAGCGGTCCTCGTCGTCGTCACCTTTGTCGTCGTTGGTCGTCCAGAAGTCCAGCAGCAACGGCAATCGAGACTTGGCTGAGGCGCTAAATGGATCGGAGAGAGGAGGTGGGGGGCGGCAGCGGGGTTGCGCTAGTGGAAGGCAGCCGGAGACGCCGAGCTTCGATGGAGGGCGCAAGGATCCAAGCCGCTGGCGAAAGTGAAAGACGGGCAGATTGCGTCGGAGCGCAGGACCTGGACCGCAGCAGGATGGTCCTCGATGGCGTAGCTGTGCGGCTCAGGGCGGCGACGACGGCGCGGTGCCGGGCGATGCGCGCAATGTCGTGGCTCGCCGGCTGAGGCGGACAGAGGTCAGTGGAGGTAAAGTCGAACCTCGAGCCAGTCGAGCTGAGCCGGTAGTCGCCGGAAAGGTGGCGGTGTGCCTGCAACAGAGGGCGGCGCAGCGGGTAGAGGCGGACGCCGGCCAGGAATCAAGCCATGTGCCAATATCGAGGGTGAGCTATAACGAGGTCGCCTGTACGCTATGTCGAAGGTCGAGGACGGGATTTTCTGAGGTCGGTGGCGGCAGTTGAGCGAGAGGGTGTGAGTGTGCCAGCACCGAGAGTGTCAGGGCCGAGGTCGAGGTCGAGATCAAGGTCGAGACGGTGGAGCGTCGGGCGCGAATGTGTGGCCGAGCAGGTGATGGTGCTGGGGATCCTTCCTGGTGCGAGCGAGCGATCTAGCGGTGATGGTGGCGATGGCGGCCAAAAAAATGTCGTGTGTCGGTGGCGGGACGGCCAGCCGTGTGGAGTCGAGGGGCGTGCGGGTACGAGTGCGAGTGCGAGTGCCAAGGCGTGACGACGACGTCTGTGCGGCGTGGACAGGCGGGCGGGGCAGACGGACGGGACCAAGGCGATTAGGCAGGCAGACGGGTGGGCGGGTAAGGCAGGCAGACGGGTGGGCGGGTAAGGTAGGTGGGTGGACGGGTAGGTGGTGGTGGTGGTGGTGGTGGTGGTGGTAGTGGAGGGACGGCAGGATGCAAAGCCGCGAAGAGGGTCACGCAGGCAGCCAGGCGGGCAGGCGGGCATCTTCCTTCTCCCTCTGTGGGTCCAGGCCATGGAAGCGCCAGGCGGGCAAAGCGGCAAGCAAGCAGGCAGGCAGGCAGCAGCAGCAGCCGGCGTCGTTTTCGATCAGGCAGGGTCGCTCCAATAGAAGCCGAGCAGGGAAGTCAAGCTGAGGGCAGGCCAAGGCCGGCCAGCCTGAAGAAGAAGCTTGCAAGCAAGCTAAGAGGGAGATGGGTTGCAGGCGATGCGCCACAGCAGGCCCGACGGACAGACGTCTTGGTACAGTACGTACGTACGGGTGACAAGACGGCGCCGTCACGTCGCGATGGAGCTCTCCTTTAGCGCCCGATTAGGCCCAAGCTTGCTTGCTTGCTTGCTTGCTTGCTTGCTTGCTTGCTTGCTTGTCGGCCTGCCGCTGCCGCTGCTGTTGCGCGGTGGTGGCGGCCGGCCAGGATGCAGATGCTTGCCCGCCCTAGCCTGCCCCTGGTGCCGGCCTGCCTGCCTGGTTCTGCGGCCAGATTGGGCGGCGCGTGGGTGCGTGCTCGAAGTGCATGCCTAGGTTCACAGCGAGGTGCCAAGCAGGCGTGGCGTGGCGTGGCGTGGGGCGGCGACGGATAGATGAGCCGCCTGGCCTGGCCCGGCCAAGAAGAAGGTGCGCAAGGCGCAAGCAGGCTGGGCAAAGCAAAGAGGCCGCTGGGTTTGCGGTTCAGCTCGCCGCCGTGGCAGGCGCAGCCGTGCAGATGCAGATGGAAGAGAGAGATAGGCAGGCTGGCCAGCCCACGCCGCCCACGCCCATCCAGCCAGCCAGCCAGCCAAGGCAAGCCAGCCAGTAGTCGAGTGCAGAAGCGCATCGCCCCTCCCACCGACAAACGGCCCGCGCCGGACGACAGGCGACAGGCGACAGGCACAGCCAGCCAGGCAACCAGGCAGCCCGGCCAGGTAGGGCGGAGCGGAGCGCCAAACCCAAATTCCAAAATCGGGAAGCGCCCGTCGCTCTCTTGCTTCTCTTCTGATGGGCGCCAGCTGCCTGCCTGCCCGCCTGTCTGCGGTGGTGGTGGACCTGCTGTCGACCCAACCCAACCCAACCCAACCCAACCCAACCCAACCCAACCCAACCCGCCTGCTGCTGCCGCTGCTGCCCAACGCCGGACCACGCTGCATCGTACCGCACGTAACTCTCTCTCGGCCTGTCTCTCGCGCTGGCACCCTGCCCCGCCCTAGCCACGGGGTCGGGGCGCTCATCTCAAGGCCGATCCACCGGCCGGCTGGCTGGCCAACAAGCAAGCAAGCAAGCAAGCAAGCAAGCAAGCAAGCAAGCAAGCAAGCAAGCAAGCAAGCGAGCGTCCTGTCCACCCTGGTCCTCTTGGCATCGGCATCGGCACCGACCCGCCGCGCCTCGAGCACCCGAGGGAGGCCGGTCGATGCGAGTGTCAGAGAAGGCAACCACGGTGCACAGGCAGGCAGGCGTACCATGCCTCCGTCAGACGACAAATCACATCGACGCGGCGGGGCCCTGCCATGTCGTACCGCGCCTGCTTGTCCGGCTGCGAGCGCGCGGCGCCTGGACCGCCCCTCGCCTCCCGACCCCATTCTTTTCTCGCCTCGGACCTTCTTCCGTCGGCCTCTTTGCCGCCTCAGAGCCGCCTGGGCAGCAGTCAGTACAATGGGTGCATACCGCACCTTCGCGCATCCTTGATCGGCGGATTGATTGCGCAACCCGACTTCGATCGTCGCCCGCCCATCATCAGGCATCGTCGATGGCGTTGTCTATCTAGGCCGTGCGGTGCCCGTGTGTATCTACATGCATCTTTCTTGCTCCCTCTGTGCCCTGCTCAGCCCAGCCCCGGGG